ATTGGATCTGCAAAGACCGAATTAATACCCAATTCCCCATTTTTTTAATGAAACATTACATAAGCAAATTTGGCGCAAGTCGATTGTTAAACTCTCGCAAACAATGCCTCCTGTTCTTCCAAGCGTGAGCACATACCACACAAAAATGATACCATACGATCTGGGATAAAACACTCTTTCATAAGATGTATAACAATTCACTGTTCATAGATGATTTTAAAAATAATTAGCAATTCTCTAGGTGTAAACATTTTTTTGACTCACACTGTAGAGAGAGTCATCAAGGCAATTTTACCATCGCCATCTTCGGTCATAATGATGATGTCACAGTATACGCCTTTGCTCTTGACCCTTTTTTTTTTCTTTTTGCAGTAGTCCATTGCTTAGCCCCTGAATCATGACTGTACGCAGTGTTTGCTAGGGTACGCGGCCCCTTCCACAAATCCCCCAAAACGAAGAAAATGCAATAAATTGTCAAAAATTCATTGCATTTCCCCCCGGCCCCCAACAGGAAAAATTCCTCTGTAGGGCCATGCATTATGGTTCAAGGCATGGCCAAACAGGAATTTTTCCTGTAGGGGCCGGGGAAAAATGCAATGAATTTTTGACAATTTATTGCATTTTCTTCGTTTGGGGGATTTGTGGAAGGGGCCGCGTACCCTAGCAAACACTGCGTACAGTCATGATTCAGGGGCTAAGCAATAGCCTCGTTGCTGTGAGGCCCCAGGATAAAAATCGTGCTGATCAGCTATATTAGTGCCCATTTGTGAGGCATTAATCATCATTACTGTCAATTATGATTTAAGGAAGTAGGTTCCCTAGCTGATTAGCATAGTAGCACACATATGATATAGCAGTCACGCAAAACAAACACTCGCAATTTAATATTCAATAAAATCTGAGAATGTATGCCATTATCTAGATCTATTAGAAATAAATAATTTTTGAAAATCCTTCCCTAAACTGGGGTACAAATAAATATTCCACCATTATGACCAACAGTGTACAAGGATCAAGACAACCGCACACCTGCTATTTTACCAAACAACAAAGCAGTAATTAGTATCATTAGAAATCTAAATTTGACATTGTTAACACAGAGGGGTGGGGGGCAGAGTGCATCCACTTTTTTAAGGTACCCTAAAGTGCCCCCTTTTACTTTGACACGTGCCCCTTTTTCTTGTGATAAGTGATCCCATTTGTTTCCATGAGAGCTCCTTCCTCTTCTCATAAATGCCCCTTTTCACCTGTGATGAGTGCTCCTTTTCCTTCAACAACGCCCTATTCGAATAAGTGCCCTTTTCCTTCTGATAAATGCCCCTTTTTTCACCCCTGATGAATGCCTCTATCAAAATCTGATTCCATTCCATTTATTCCACTCATTCTCATGAGTGCCCATTTTCATCTCCCTTTTTACTTTGACACGTGCACCTTTTCTTTCATAAAAAGTGTCCTACTCCCTCCTGATAAATGCCCTTTTTCTTTTCCCATAACATGCGCCCCTAATTTAAAGCTACTCAGAGCCAGTTTCCCCCCCCCCCCCCAAAGCTCGCTCATATTTATAGTTAATATAATTATGTTACTTATAAAGGGTCTTGCTAGTCTTTAATGATATGACTGTGCGGAAAACTCATAAGGATTTGTTTTGTATCCTCTTCATAAGATGTAATTTCTCGCACTGCGACCTCACAAATCTTAGAATATTTAGACCAACTGCGAGGTATAAGGCCTAAGCCTTATGTCAGACCATGTAAAGAGAGAATCAAATATTAATATAATTCCTGATAATGTGAACACAATCATGACAATGTAGGGGTATATACCAATGTCCAAAAATGGTATTTTTCCGCTTTGAGGTTTCCTTTTGTAGGTGCCGCTTCACTCTCCAGAAAGATCCCCCCCCCCCCCCCCACTTTAGAAGAGGCCCCATCGCCCCTGTGTTAACATGCAATAGTAATTATTCTAGATAATCTATTTTTCGTTATACGTTATGAGAGCTGTACAGACAGACCCATAGATTATTATTTCAAGTAACATGATGATAAACTTAACACGATATGTGAAGCCCACTGCATTCGAAAAGGCAATTGTCTTAAATAGGAAATCCAAACAAACATCATCTTCTTGAGTTAGTTTCTAAATAATTATAAGAATAATAGCAGCCGAAACTTTCGTGCATTGAACTCTTTTAGTCAGTCTACAACAATCGCATTACAAGTTTGACGTCACTACGATTCTGAGCCGATTTAGCTCTCCTCTTCCAAGAAAGAATGAAATCCCTTGAAATTTAGATATTCTTAATCATATGACTGTTCGTGTATTCAGATTCTATGTCATGATTATTCATGTCATAGTAATTTTTCATGTTTGATTATTCGTATCAAATGCTGTTGCAAAATCTTCGAAAATCGGATCGTATAGTGTGCGGTGGGCTGGCATTTGGCGTACACAACCAAACGATCCGTGTTCGATTTATGCTGGTAGCAGCTCTTTCAACCTCTGCATATATTAAAGGCAAGGCATTCAGGAGGAACAATGAGTTCCGTCATAGCTGCGCTAACTATACCTCTCATTCAATATGCTATACAGTGTGAGTAAAAAAAAAGGTTACACCTAGAAAAGTGTTTGCGAGATGCAAAAATCGACTTGCGCCAAAGTTGCTTATCTGATGTTTAAATAAAACAATTAGGATTTGGTATTAAATCGTTTTTTTGCAGATCCAAATAACATCCCTAACAAAATTAATCATGCCACACATATCAAATATCGAATATCAAATATCAACGAACATTTGAGCGCGTGTGTGTGTGAGCGTGTGTGACTTTGCTTCTGCAAAAAGCATATGCAATGCATTCCATTTGATACATTCAATTTATTCTCTCACTCCGCTAATCCCAACATAATACATGCTGTGGGCATCACTTTGGCGCAAGTCGATATTTGCACTCTCGACACATAATATGCAGTTTGCACTCTGACTATTGAAATACGTTATTATTCTTAACAAGTGAATGAACATTTTTATTGAGGCACTTCTCAAAGACGTAAACGTATGCATGACAATACGAAAACGGCCTATTCATTTCCTAAAAACATAACGATCGTGTACAAGCAAACACCTTTATAATAAAACACGTAACACATTATACAAATTACGTACCAACTATAATATACACAAAAACCCAGGACATACCGCGAAGACACATTACACCAAGATATTTTCGATATCAACGATGCCAAGGTTAAAAGAGAGGGGGAAGGGGAGGGGTGATTGTGAGAGAAAAGAAGAAAGGACGAAACTATTTTGAAGAAAATAGAAATGGTCTTCAAGTGGGAGAGAATGGATGCAATAGAAAAATCACAATATTATCATAGAATAATGTTGATCGCAGAACTATGCTGCAATTAAGCATCGTACGGCGATGGACAAGGTGCAAAGGGCATCAAATATACGCAGATTAATATAGTTTCATAGTAATTAGATCATACATCAACAATAATAACGCATGTGTCTACCTCTTAGGCCTTTATCACACAAAGCGATAAGATTATTTACAACATTAAAGTACTTAATTCGATCTAATCCGATAAAAAGGTCGGAACAAAGTACAATTAGATTTATACAAAAGCATTTACATAGCTACGTGGTGAACTCGCAGAATGTTGTTTGGTATAGTTGATTAGTATCATTGGTACAGTGGAAATATCCAAGTTAAAAAGTCATACAAGATTACAATCATAGAGGTTTAAACTCATCGGTAGATGAATATTCATCTAAAGTTCAAATTCAACACTGCTTGTGATATGCTCAGTATCGATACACTCGGTATATCATAAGAAGAGGAGATTATTTACACAAAGAAAATGCACGAGAAATTATCATGATTATTTAAGTATTTCGTGTGCACAGAGTAATATTGTTCTAATTATAATTCTCATTAATATTTCATCCTGTTATAGGTGATACAATTTCATACTGTTTTGTATGTACATTAATACACTATAACACTTCATGATTATTAATAATGTGGATATCAATACAAATATTTTACGAAGAATGAAAATAAAAAACAAGTGTTTTCACAACTTGTCAAACCCATCATACAGCAGAATTCAATCTGATTTGTGCATAATTAATCAAAAGACTATGTACTATAATTTTGACGAGGTCTAAAACACTTTAAAGATTTATCTGAGTGTCAAAAGGAATCAGGTACAAAGGGAAACTTTGTGCCATATTTCTCAAGACAATTTGTAAACGAGTACTGGACAGAAATTACCCTACCGATCAAATACGTGAAGTAATAAAGTTTAGATACCATAAAGATATAAATGCATAAAGATATAAATGATAATAATGATAATAATTACGATAAAAATAATAATAATGATAATAACGATAATAATAATAATAATAATAAAAATGAAATGATAATGACAATTATGATAATAATATTCTTATTATTTACAATGTGATGACGGTGGTAATGATTAACAGTAGCAAAAATGTTAATGTAATTTGTATTGATGTTTTTTTGTCTTTCTTGTTTCTTCTTTTTTTCTTCTCCTTCTCATCTTTCTTAACTTTTTAAAACTTTTTTCCAACCAAAATCAGGTGCATCTGGTCAGGTGTGGGGAGGGAGTTCTGCGGATCATAGTTATTAGGTTAACTTTGTTTCCATACCTGGGCGGGCAACTTGACCGTATGCACCTGCTATTGCAATATCTATATATGTTTTCTATTGATTTTGTCTCAATTCATGTTTGTTATATTTATGTGACTTGATTTGCTAAATAAAATAATAATAATAATGTAGAAAATTGTGATAAGAGACCATTAGACCCCTTTTATAATGCCTTCGCAAATCAAAATACTTACATGATCTACGAGGCTGCAACACATATCAATAAGATATTTTCAATACAACATTGTAAATTAGATTATTATTTTTAACAAGCAACTGTACCAAATGAAACTAGTTCATGACGAAATATGATCGTTTTGTAAAAGAGAGTTAGAAGATATTGAGCTTGTTTAATGTGTGTGAATTTCGTTTTACAAATTTGAAATAAGACTTCATAGAGGATTTAAGAATGTAGCCGTTTACAGATTGAGTTTACAAGAGAAAATATCAGTTTGGGTTTTGAAGAAAAGAGACATGATGCACATTTAATTGCATATTATTAACATTGATGAAAAAACAGATTTTCTAAGAAAAAGTTTAGCAACAGGATTCCTGTATTTAGTGTAGAGAATGAAAGATATATTTATATTTTATTTATTTGGTACGAGTTGCGTATATAACATTTGTTTAATATTAAGTGGCAGTCACTTCAACCTTTATTTGTATGAGAAAATGAGGGAAATACCCTGTAACCAAACGAGTCAAACAAATGTAACTTTGTTATTTTTTACTTTATTCAATGAAGTAGCCTAGAGAGGGCAAAATATCTTATTTTTTAGAATTAGTAATATTTATCTTACTTGTTCATTTCAGTTAGTGCAGAAACTCAAATTTCATTCACCATTAAAATATTCTTTTTTTTAAGCACGTGAATCCTTTTTACACTGATATATAATAAAACAAGACACAAATTATATTCATCGCTATTAATCAATGAATTAATGAAATAAAAGATTCAAAAGTTAAAATAAATCGAAAGACTTTTGTATACATGTCATGGAGCAACATTTTCTTCCATTTAAACAATCGTGATAAATTCCATAATAAAACTTACACATTTGCACAGAGGGAGAGAAAGAAAGAATGAGAAAAGGGGGCGGGGATAACAGCAATAAATACAAAATATATCAATAGATGCTGTACCTGTAAAATACGTGGTCTACTTTGAAAAAATATACATAAATAATGGAGGGGTGCCGTTTCATTATTTTGTACAGTCAATTGTCACAGCAATATGCAAAAAGGAATAAGCTAACTTTATCAATTCCTGTGAGTGCAGAGATAAATATCGATCATGCAACATTACATTATACATGTAGTAAAGATAAAAACAATGCATACAATACAAACCTCGAGTAAAAAAAACAAGCAAAGTATCTATGTTCTTATACAACAATGAATAAAGAATTCATGAAATATTAAAAGTGATGGATGGATGCTTTACGCGCGCGTGCGAGTGCACACCCACACACACACCCACTCGCACACACATGCTGTTGCACACACAGTATTAAATTTAGGTGAAGATTCCTTTGAACACCAATTCATTGAAATTTAAAAGATATGTCGTACTGTGATTAAATAACGAGTGGTGGGATGCATATGCTCACTGGGATTCACGTGAAGCTATAACATATCTTATTGGAATAAAAGTTGCCGTCCACACTAAAACACTCACATGCGTGATTTATTCAAACCAAGATTTCACCCAGCAAAAAAAAGCCTTTATTTTCATTAGCATTAATTTTGTCTGATCACTTGTCGACGGAGACTCCTCGGCTCGCTTTTCTTCTCTTTCTTTGGCTTAACCGCTGTTACATTTTTCTTTCGTTCTGTATGGACTATGGTAAGTTTGCAATGTGTGAGGGAAGCGTCAAGAGCAGCAGCAGCGTGATTTATCATCAGTCTTAGCAGTCGTATTATCACTTGTCGACTGAAACTCCTCGGGTCGCTTTTTCTTCTCTTTCTTTGGCTTCACCGCTGTTACATTTTTCTTTCGTTCTGTATGGACTATGGTGAGTTTGCAATGTTTGAGGGCAGCGTCAAGGAACTTGAGCAATTCAATGCTCTTCTCTTCGTCTTCCGTTGAATTATCTTTTGTGTAATTTTCGAAAAAACCACACGTTCTCATGGACATCGTGTACACCAAGCTCTGTTTTGATGTCCTCTCTTTCCTCATCATCTAGCGATGCTGCGTGAGTAATAACGATCATCGGTGGATATCCTGTCATACGAAAAAAAAATATATATACATGTAGGTTTGTAGAAATAGAGATGTTGGTGATGGCAGTGTATGCATCGTTGTTGATCGCCATCAACAATTTATTTTCCATCCCTAAAAAATAATGAACAATGCCCTGGAATTCAGAGCGAACGGACGAAACACGCAGACCCAAGAATGTGGTCCAAAGTCGGGTCATTATTGATTGATCATAGACAATATATCCGGCCCCACCCCACTCCGGGAACGGAGGGACCACATGCGTGTTCCCAAAATCTCCGGCTTGTAACAAAAGAAAGGGTCTACCCGTATTGACTTTACACACCAGACCTATGCCTAAAAAAGGGGGGGGGGTGCTGAAAAGGCTCGTATAACAACAGAAAAAGGTCTACCCGTATTGACTTTACACACCGGACTTAAACTGCAAAAGGGGGGGGGGGGGGGGGGTGGGGAACACGCATATGCGTACCCTAAATAACACTGATTTTTTTTTTTTTGGGGGGGGGGGGGGCAATATAGGCCTGTAAGGTTTGGCGAGTCATTTTGGTAATTGCCTTTTGGAATCAATATTTAAGATTTTATTAAATTAAGTTGTGCAAATGTTCATGCACTCCTCGACCTTATTAGGAGGAGACAAGCATCGGAACTTTGACGTCTAGTCATTCAGGGCCCCGTCTTATAAACAGTTGCGATTGTATCAATCGCCACTTTGTAAATAACAGATAGGGAACTACCAACTTGCGATTGATCAGAGGATTTTCGATTGATTCGTATCAATCACATTTTATTAGATGGGGACCTGGATCTGTTCGAAAATCACAATTTACTTGCCCCAGCTGTTTTACCTGGGGAAGGGGGGGGGGGGGGCAGCAGCGATCTGGCTTGAAACATACTGTTATGCTGCCATATGTGCAAGTGATTGATGCAAGGAAGCAAACAAATAAGGAAACGTTTCAAATTTACAAAAAAGTCTTGGTTTGCTGTGTATTGGAAACCTATTACATGCGAAATTATACATACCGTTGTACTTTCTTAGTTCTTTCGCGAAGGCTCCTATGAACTCTATACCGGGTCTCCGATTGAAGTCACTGAATGAAGAAGCAATGAAGAATTCATTTAAAAACAAAACAATGACGTACAAGGACACCTTACAAAACATCTAGGACGTGGGACAACTACCCCGTACAACTGTCCCTTTAGAATAATACGACTTCAATAATGACACGACGATCAGGATTTAAATAGCTGTCTTAATTCCAGAGAAGCACTTCAGCCAGTCACCATTTCTACAGGCGTACCAAGTGCTAACCCGTCCTATACCCCTGATAATTCTGCTAATTGACCATTTGATATCTGGGTGGAGAGAAGCAATTTAGGACAAAAGGGACGGGCCAGGGATCGAACAGAAAACCTTCACATCTCTGAGGTAAGTGTTTAAAGTGATTTCCTCATATCCTAGAAATCATATTATATCGAGCCCCAAGATTAGTGAAATAGTGCAGATATTGTTTTAGAAATTCGGATTCAATATTTATTTAATCATGTTAGTCATATTACATTAAAAATGTTGAGAGTGCTTACGAGATTCTGAAAACGAAAACACCACAATGGATTTCTTCGTCTTCACTTCGCACGATTTCTTCTATGTCCGGACCACGTTCTCCACCTGCGAGTAACATTTATACAATGAGCTTTAAATCATGTTATTTATAATACCTGAGTCACATCGCCAGAACCACCCCCAGTCATCTACCCCCTATAGGGCAGCCAGCCTCTAAGACCACTACCCCCAACATATGGAAACGTTGTATCATCCGCTCAATCTGACTTAGTATACGTGCATAGAACAAATAAACACTTTTGCATGAAAAAGTGAAGTTTTCTGAAAAGTACATTTCTTTCCAGCATTGGGGTGCCCAGGAGGCACTTGGCTAAACTTTCAAAAAGTACAAAATAAACAAATAATATGCAATTTCTCTGTACTTTTATCGGAAAAACAAACAAATCCAGCACAATGTCGTCTCTTTTTGCATTGGAGAAGAGCAAAATAGCTCGTTTCAATCACACTTCGGCCGCTCTCTCAAGCTCTCACTCGTTCCATTGTGGTCAGGTGGTTTTGGAGTGAGCGGCTAATACCCCCTTCACATACACCGATTTTTCTTACGAGTCCTTACGGCCAACTCGTAGTCAATCGCAAGGATCCGTAAATAACTCGTCACAACTCGCAACAACTCGTAGACACTCGTAAGGATCCATGAAAGGAGAGACAATTTTTTTTGACATGTCAAAAATATTCTTACGATTGTCCACGGATTAATTTGTTCGTAAATAGCTCGTAACAATCTGTAAGTATCGTAAACCGCTCGCAACAACACTTAACCATCCATAACCTGCTCGCAACAATCCGTAATTAACTCGATCGTAACAATTTTTAAAACGATTTGTTACGGTTAGTTTACGATTTGTTTACGGATTAATTACGGTTTATTACGAGTACTTACGTGTTGTTTACGATTTCATTCGGGTAGTCTTACGATGGCTTTACGGATTGTTACGGGTTATTACGAGCACTTTACTTGTAGTTACGAGTACTTTACGTATAGATACGTATACATTACGTATTCTTACGAACGGTTTACGATTTGGGGAAAGGTGTTAAAGCGGCAAATTCGAAAACTTCATTTTCAGTTGTTATTTTTTGGTTAAAAATCCTGAGGACTCGTAGTAAATACTCGTAATTATCTCGTAACTATTCGTAACAACACGTAAACAGGTCGTAATTTACATTTTAATTGCTCGTAGTTATCCGTAATAACTCGTAATAATCCGTAATAACTCGTAATAATCCGTAATAGCCCTTAAATACTCTTAAATCGATCGTAAAAGTGGCCAAATCGTAAGGATCCGTGAAAGATCCGTGTATTTGTGCGATTCGCAAGGACTCGTAAGAAAAATCTGTGTATGTGAAGGGGGTATAATGAATATCTTCTTGTTTTGATTGATTGTATATATTTTTCGGAATTAAGGAAACATAAAAGCTTGACAAATAACCTTCAGCGTCTGAAGCCCCGAATGCACACGCAAATAAACAGGCTCTAATGACGTCATTATCGCTAAATCGGCGTCCTGTATCGTAAAATTGCTACATTTTTACATTGTTTAATTATTAATAAAATATAACATTATTTGTTCTGATACCACTGAAGTTTTGGGTTTTATTTAATGAGTAATTTTTAAATAAGAGTCATTTTACTGTTTTGATTTACTGAATTGTGCCATTTAAGTCGCAGGGTAGAAAGATGCATTTTCCAACCGCACCAACTTGCATTTATGCACCGACATCCTGCTATACGAGTTCGTGTTGTTTTTAAAGAATCCACTGCTTTCTGCTCCACTAAACGTCCATATGCAGAGTCGTTTATCAACTAAATATATCAAATTTATGGATGCTCCCTTCCCAGGTGTTTGCGGTGTTGAAGCATTTCTTTCACCTGATATTAGTCTTTGTACTCCAATTGCCAAAACGTAAATTTCCTTTTGTTTATGTAGTTTCATTCAATAAGTAAATCAAAGAAATACTATTTTCTGCACAACAAAAACAATATGTGTCCCTTTTGTACATGTAAAGTGCCTCTACCCTCAATATGACATATAGTTAATCTACCCATTCAAATAATGGAACTACCTGCCTGATGAAGCCAGTTTGTGGTCAACTTCTTTTATGAGACAAATCCAAGCAACCGTTTCAATATGGGACAACTACCCCCAGACAACTACCCCCTAGAACAACTACCCCCAGGACAACTACTCCGGCCAACTACTCCCAGAAAACTACCCCCAAGGATTGTTGTCCGGGTGGGTAGTCGTCCTAGAGGATGGTTGTCGTAAGGGGTAGTTGTCTGGGGGTAGTTATCCGGGCGTAGTTGTCTTACGGGTAATTGTCTGGGGGTAGTTGTCCGGGGGTAGTTGTCCAAGAGGGTGGTTGTCCTAAGGGGTAGTTGTCCTTGGAGGTAATTGTCCTATAGGGGGTAGTTGACTGGGGATGGTTGTCCGGGGGTGGATGTCCAGAGGGTAGGTATCCTAAAACCGTCCAAATACATGGACAATTGTTCGTACGGCGCGGCGGCAGGATTTGGCGGCTACGGTTGGCGCACATACAATGTGCAATTCAGGCTGAGGCAAGCAAAAGAGCCCACTAGGTCAGGGCTGTTGTTGATAGTGAATTGTGGTTCATGACTGCCGCAGCACCATTATGCTATAGTTTTAGTTGAGTTTAAGTGAGTGGGAAGGTACCTAGATATGAAACAAGTTGAATGTTGGTGAACAATAACCTCGATGCCCGCACCATTTGGTCTAATATATTGCCACGAAGGACTTACAGAGGCTTCGACAAGGATGAACAGCCCAAAAATTGATAGAACGCGGCTAGCATTGAACAAGCAGGCCAAGTACATAATGCCGCAGATTTGGGGGCCGTTCATTGGATCATTCAGGCACGAGCGGCACGAGTTGTTTCCTAGTGACGGAATACATCTATCTGAGGCAAGAAATGACTTTTTTTCTTCACAGCCTTATCCGTGGGTTGACAAACATTGGATAGATTTTCTTCGAGTTCTTTTTGGTTTGGTTTTACTTTATTTTTTTTTAAATTATTTGTAGACTATTTTATGAGCTTGGTCTCAATAGTGTTCACAAATGTGTTTTTTTTAAATTTAATACCGTTTTCGGTTGGAAATGTATTCTAGTCAAAACGAAAGATATCTGTTCGCGACTAATTTTGTTAATTGGTTATTTAGCTCAAGCTTCAAATCGCAAAAAGGTATAATTAAACAAAGTAACCCAGTAAAGTTATGGGTTAAGATCAACATGTTAAGTTCATAAACGTAATGAACGTAATAACAATATATACGATCAGTGGCGGCGGGCGCGCCAATGGCGGTGCCCGTGTGGCGGAAAATGTCAATTTTGCCTCTTCGCATATACGTGTTTATGTATGATATATACATATAAAGGGTATTATATTACACACTGCTGTAGAATACCTTATGGGAAGGTTGTGTTTTGAGAATATAATTTGCACTATTTGAATTGGCCATTGTATCATGCAGAGCACCAATTGGTTGCATACAAATCTGTTGCCGGTTGGGCCCCGATGATACAGGCATTCCGTCCTGTCATTTGTTTTACAACCTGTACCCGATAGTAAAGGCATCTGTTCGCGGCCTGTTCAATGCAGGGACCTGTTTGCCTTCTTTTTATGCAAGGGGGGGGGGGGGGGAGTGGGGTATTATATCTGAACTCGCTGTTATTAATACCAAATATACCAAATATTAATACCATTCGCCTGTTCATGCACGGAATAGTGTCGCCTTTTTATGGCTAGGGGGTTGTACATAAGTCTCGTATGTTGGTGGCCTCGATGCAGAGAGTACTTTGAGTTTTGTTTCGTAGTGTATGCATAATTATGCATATACTTGTATAAATTGATCGAAAAATCGAAAGTAATACCCAAGTCCTTCCCATGGGTGGATTGTAGCAGTGTAACTTATAAAATGAAAAGTATGACGACGGTTTATCCTTCTATATTCAGTTGGGAAAGTTTGTGTTATAATTTTTGTTATTGTCATGATGTCGATTTTCAGGGTAACAAGAAAACATCCTCCATCAAATCTCAAGTAACCGCAAAAAACGAATTCTGTATCTTTTGTTACTGTTCATGTAATACAAAATAGAGGAATAAATAACTTCTTTTTTTAATAAATAAGTGATTATGATGAGTTGAAATATTTACAGCTAAAATTTGATAGACCAAAACTGACCTACGTTTTCTAAATCATGGAGACCTTTTCAAGTCGAATATAATGTACATATACCATAAATGCGCGCTTAAGTGTACAATTACAAACATGAAAATGCAAAAAAAAAGCACCTGCTGTGGGGAGGGACACTCCTTCACCTGCCCAAACTGCTACCCCTCTCCGGGACCGAATTCCAGATACGTACGCCACTGCATTTTAGCTTCAAATACTCAGGCCGACTTTGACATTTAAGTCTCTACCTTAATTGGTCGTGATAGCATTTCTATGCTCGCTAGTGAATTCATATAAATGTGATTTATTACTGATGTCATTAATGAACATATAGCTCAATAACTTACGGAGTTGAGCAAGTATTTCCGTTAGATTAGATGGCTGGAAGTCATTCATGCCTCGGTTGTCGAAAAGAGAAATGCTGCCAGTGACAGTTAGAAGAGTACGTGAGATCGTTTTTCCTCCTCCTGATTCCATTCCGCCTATTACCTGACTCTGTTTAAACTGACCTGCTCGAAATCATCATAAACATGGCAAAGTATGTCTTATGGTGAAATTTAATACGAAACACAATACAAAATTAATGCTGCTTAAAGATAAAGTTGAGTTCTGGTCACGCATTTGCATTGTAAAAGAAACAGTGTGGAATCGATCAGAAAAGGTTGATCATCTAGCATATAAGTATTGGTGTGTACTGCAAGGTTATGGAATCATCAGAATGATAACAAATTTGGCCCAGCCTTGGTAAAGTTACAAGCACCTGTACACAGTATACAATAAATGGGACTACAAAGACATATGGCATTCAAATCCGTCCTGATTTTTACGCTGTTACATGCCATATTTAGAATATTAAGGCATTTAAAGAGCCATGCTTTTCAGGGAACATCTTTAATCTGATTTTCTTCCACATTTGCATAATAACTATGATAACGCTCACAAATTATTGTTCATCTATTCCCAGAACTCAACCTTCTCTTTAATTCAGATTTTTTTTTAAACAGTCGGATTAAAATCTTTAACAATATTATTAACGTAACTACTTCAAAAAGTAACATTCCGTTGTCGTATATGGACTTCAAAAGAGATCTGAAAAAAATTATCAGACTTTCATCCACAGTATTCTTTATCAAAGCACAGCTCATTATAAGTAATAAATCATCCAGGAACCCAGTAAAAAGTCCTACATCAAAGTCGATTCATATATTCCAAAAGGATGTTTTGTGCTGTGACAGGGATTTTAACCACAAACCCTTGTAATTAGTCAGTCCGTTACTTATTCACTAGACCGCAACGCGACAACGATAAATCTCCTCCTTTCCCCTCCTCCTCAATCTTCTTCTTTTTCTTCTTCTCCTCTTCTTCCTTCCCTACACCTCCTCTTCTACCTTCACCTAATTCTTCTTCCCCATCCTTCTTCTCTTTCTTATCTTCCTCCCCCTCCTCCTCCTGATCCTCCTCCTCCTGATCCTCCTCCTCGTCCACCTTCTTCTCCTTCTTCTTTTCCCTCTTTTCTTCATCTGCTTTCTCTTCTCCTTTCCCCCTCCTCCTCTCCTTCTACTTCTGCCTGTTATCATTCTTTCTTTTTCTTATTCTTCTTTTTCTTCTCCTTCGAGCCCTCCTCCTCCGCCTCCTCGTCCCCCGTTCCTTTTCTTCTTCTTGTCCTCATCTTCCTCCATTTCTTCATTTTCTACCTTTATTGCTGCTGTGTTGCGGTGTCAAGGTCGAGTGTATAAGCTAACAGACTGTGATCACAAGGTCCGTGGTTCCAGTCCCGCCGCGACACTAATGTCCTTTGGCAAGATATTAATCTACATTTGCTATATATATATATATATATATATATATATATATGAGCGCTATATACAAGAACCCAGTATTATTATCATTATTACTACTACCATAACTACTGCTGCTATTCATTACTTCTTTCATTATATTCTACTTCACTTTGTAAAATTCTCCTAATACTTTGAAGGGACTAGGTAACATTGTTCAGATGAGAGAAATTGTTGCTGAGGCAGTGACTTCAATGTTAGATGTGCAATTAAAGATAATCTGAAAGTTTGAGTGAAAACAGACCATTATTAATGATAACATTTGGAAGAACTGATCTGATCGATCCCATAATTCTCCAAACTTTGTTATTACATTTTAATTACATTTCAGCTAATTGTAAATCGTCACAAAGCAATGAATTGGTTTTATATACCATTCCAGACATTTAATTGTTGACATATTTTTAAAAGCCTGTCTTATGCCTTATTTTCATGGAAAAACGTTTGGAAAAATTCAAGACAGTGACGCCTTCAAAGAAAACCCTAAATATGTTTGTGGTTTGAGAATTTGTTCAGGATTTGTTTGCATGTCAGTGATTGGGTATAGTAGAAGGAATATATAAATAACATTTTATACAAAAATAACGCAGTTTTTTCATCAACCTTCAACAATGTTATCGAGTCACTTTAAGAATAAGATTGTAAAAAAGGGATTTTTTGGAAATGTTTTCCCAGCATGAGGGCAATGATGTATCCGACCAGCATTTGGGCAATTATACATGCATGTTATATGCCCATCTCATGTCGAGGTTCCCATTTTGTCTTAAAACTTAAGGCAAGAAATTGCCAAAAGTTGGTCAAACATGTTGGGCAATTACAAAAACAAGATTATAATAAACGAGAATGCAAGATGGACACAGAAGATATAACAACAAAGAATATTAAGACTTTTTGGTTATACCTGTGAATGCGAATTCAAGAGAATTTAGAAAGGACGATTTTCCGGCGCTCATTTCTCCAAACAAGCCGATATGTGCTGATTTCACACTGCACCCCTCCGGCGGCTCAAAGGTGTAGTCCCTTAACTTCTCACGTAGAGAAGACAATTCCTCCCTTCTGTGTTCTGCAAAATGCAAATTAATCTATAATCAGAGTTTGATACGATCTTATTTCGTATGTGTGTGTATGTGCGTGTGTGTGTGTGTGTGTGGGGGGGGTGATGTTTCCTGGCCATCCTTGTACATTAAAACACTCTACATTATTAAAGGTATTATGTCCCATTTGCAGGCCCAAAAAATGAAAAAGTTAAATTCCAACTGCATTTGAAAGATAATACTAATTTAGAACTTCCCTAAAAAAGGTAGGGCTTGAAAATGTCTTCAAGTGGGAAAATAACGACTATTAGTTGTCAAATCGACTTAAGGGCTATAGAGCCCAAAAGTAAAAGTCTTGATTTTCGGACAATTGTACCGAACGGTCATACGTTTTATGCTGCGCAAAGATTCAATCAGTTTAATCTTAGCCATCACAAGAAGTGGGTTATTGATGTAGACGAATGCTCATGTACCCTTTACAACTCTTTTCATGTATGTTATTACCAAAGAAGAAGAAAAGCCAGTCAGTCACTCAATAGTGTCTGACAGTGAAGTCTAGCAAGTAAACGGGTTTACTTGCATAATTTGAATATGAGGACACTGCTAACGTTTAAATTTCACAGATAGGACATACATGACATATTCATAATTCCTGCAAAGTTCTACAGCATTTGAGGTTGGCTGCAAAAGGGACATAGTACCTTTAAAGGTGATTATCTTGTGATCAAAAAACGAGGTATTACATTTTACATTACTATTGAAGGTAATTTTTTAAAAATAAATTTTCAAATAATATTTATGAAATGACATAACAACTTTTGCCTATACGACTTTTTTCACATGAAGTTGTAAAAAGCAAATATATCAGATTAGGAGGGTTATCGTAATCCCACAATCATCGTTCTGACTTTCATCATAAAGAATCGTGACCTCATAATACCACCTCATGCTAATCACAACCAACATCAAACTTGATTATGTCAATAAAGTTTTCATTCATATGTCAGATTCTGAATCACTAGGAGTATAAAAATGTTTTTTTAGTAATCAGGTAAAATATACAAACAAACAAGCTTCAATGCTTATTCAGATTGATTTTAAAGTCCTAAGTGCAAGTTGTATCATGGGATGTATTATGTCTCCTCAAGGTAGTGCAAATCATCACAACCAAGTTCTGCTCACCATTTTGTTTTATATTAAACTGTCGATCACAAGGTCCGCGGCTCGAGTCCCCCGCGGCACTAATGTTCTTTGGCAAGACATTGATCTACATTTGCCACTCTCCACCCAGGTGTCAAATGGGTACCGGTAGGAAGGAATTCCTTAAAATGCTGTGAACGTCGAAATCGGCAGCCTAGCATAACCGGTAATGTTGGAGCGCCTTGAGGACCTTGCAAGGTCGATACGTGCGCTATATAATAATCCAATATTATATTATTATTATTATTGTCATTTTGGATTTGATGTTGGATTATAATTTAATATGCATACAAGAAGAGCCGCTTTGCACGCAATCGCTCACCTAATTTCACTGCTTCTGGATTAGGTTCAGGTTCAGGTAGGAAGAGTGTTCTCAGAAATGGAACGTGACTTAAGATTGCTTCACCTACAAATGCAAAGGCAAATTACCAACTTTCAATCATACTATCATAATGAAAAAAAGGATTAGATTTTTTTAGCAAAATACAGATTAATAAAAGAATATCCTCGAGTATAGAAATTCTACATTCTGCAACCATGGCTAAATTCCCTTATGAATAACCCATAGCTATACAAACAATAATAAGCTAGGTTCCTTCCTGATTTCATTTAATTATTTGGCATCTTTCGTTTGGTCGATTGACAAGATGGGTCCGAGATCATACTAAAAATATTTTACATATGATCCTTTCTGAGGGCACTTATTTCAGACTTCAGATTTCAGACTGTCGTTTAATTATGTCTTTTCCACATTGTCAGACTATATGATGCATACGATTTTTAAAGGCAATCCGACTTAGGCCACTTGAATAGAAATGTACCAACCTATTCTCTAAAGGAACGAGATCAAATACCAACAGTCAAAAATTAGTCATAATCTTATCAGCTACTATCATGATCAGTAATATTGTGTGATTTAAATCGAAAATTGTAACCAGTGTTCAGTATGGTTATGAAAGAAACTTTTTGGTACGTGAGTTATTGTTTTTTATCACCCTTACCTTTGGGATGTAGTTTTTTCTTTCTTCGTAGTCCCAGCATGATCACGCATGTAGCTACTAATACGATGCAGATGATAACCAGTATAACAAAGATAGCTATCACGACCTTTCCTCCAACCGGTAATTCGTTATCAGGCACTGCATTTTAAGGGTGAAAGATGAACGACAAAGAAACTTTGATATTAATCAACTGCTATACAGAAAGTAATACGAGGTTTTGCTGAAGAGAAAGAAAATAATTTGTATGTGTTTGAATCTCCACAGTCTTTATTTCAGCATACACAAATATTGTGTGTTATCATGATATTCATTTTTTTTTTTTTTTTTTTTTTTAATTTCATGAATTGGTTCGGTTCGTTTGTCTTTCCTGACTGCTGAGAAAGCACATTTATGCTTTCTATTGCTATTGGTTTCGACTGATGGGGTTGAAATGTATTTTATTTTTACTGACTCACTTTGTATGCTTATACCTTCATTATGAGTTCGCTTCCTGAATTGCCACATTTTACACAAATATTTCTTCTGGAGGTTCTCTTGAACTACATTTTAAGTAATTCTAGCATACCTGTTGGCACAGGTGGAACGAGAACAGTGACGGTTGTTGACCAATCTGTCCTATTTGTTGCTTCACCCCTCACCGTACAGGTATAATTCTGCACTTCATCTAGTTTAGCAGTCACGCTGATGGTCACCTCTCTCTCAGCTGTACCGTTTGGTAGTGTCCTCTGGAAAGGATGCCCAAGGGGCTGCTTCACAATCCCCGACGAGGTCCACTCAAGCGTTACATTAGGTCTGAAGCCAGTAACACGGCAGTTCATGTTGAACGGATATGTGTTGGAAGTTTCTACGATGCAGAAACGTTGGGATTTGTTGCCTGTTGACCCATGGACGCACTGTTCGATTTGGGGCATTGATGGTGATGCTTTGAATTGAAAAAAATAAAACCAGATTAACGAAACAATTTCCGATTTAATATTTTTTTTGGGTAGACATGTGTTTTGGTCTTGCTATACTAGTCCACTGACTGGACTGTTTCCGTAGCGCACGCCCAAACAGCTAGGAAAAAACACACTTTTCACGCTTTAACGGTGACAGTCCTTGCCTTTCTTACCCTTTTGACGGGTGTATTTTCGGGGGTCGCGCGATCCGTGTGGGTTGTATGTAAGGCGAGGCGTCAAAAATAAATATACCAGCTGGCTGCAGCTAACTGCACTAATGCATTTTTATTAGCTCAGCCGGCTATCGCTGGCGGCAGGCGAACGGCATTCCAAAAGCATGCGCCGGCTGCCGCCTATCGAATGGAAGCAGAGCCTCGTCTAAATGAGGTCGTCGGGCCGCCGCCGGCCTATTTGAAACAGCTACCCGCCGCCTGCTACACCGCCACACCCGGCCAAACGATACCTTTATAAACTAGAATTTAATTCGTCAGAGAAAAAGAAACACCGCCATCTTATCATCACTGATGAATAACTCGAAAAAACAGTACTAAACTTTTCGGATTGGTCACCACAGACTAATTATGTGGTATTTCTTTTCTGATACGCCTTTATCAATAAAGGGACCAGTCGTACCGTGGAAATCTTTGGGCTCACTTCATTTAGATGCACCCTGCATGTAAATGGATTAGATGCCTTGTATTTTTAGTATATTCGAAAAAACATTTTTTGTAACAACCTAAGATTTGCTATTTTAAATTACTGGCTCGCCTATTGTCTATTATATCCAAATCATATGTTTGTGTTTATTCTTGTTATGCTTCAATGATATAAAACCTATTATATACCTTACTTTAAGAATCTTTCCTAATCCTGCCATCTGATTGGTTAAAAGTGAAGTCGTGTTTTTAACTATGCTCGCCAAAATGAACTGTTTTTAAATAAGCCCGCCAAAATGTTATCTCTGTCAAGTCGAGGTGAGGGAGATAATAGGGGTTTTTCGTTTGTGTGGACGAGGACGGCGTTCCCGTCCTCTAACGAGGAGAAGAAATATGAAAACGGACATAAACTGGAATATCTATATTACACGCTTACAATCGGCCTATCAATTAACTGTACCAATGGACTGTGCGCATCAAGGGGTATATTAAGTAGACACCTAAAGGCAATTTATCTGCATATATCATCCTAGTCATGTAACTCAGTTAGTGGCATAGCAAGTAAATGTAACATATTAAGAGTGACATTGCAAATGTAAGAAAATAAAAATATTTGCACTTAAATTTACTTTATTCAAAAAGATATACATGTAAGGCATACCTACAGCATGGCTAAACTAGTATGACCAATTAGCATAATGGCCTTAAGTTCTCCGATACAATTTATGTTGAACATTTATCCCTTGGTCGACATTATCGCTATTATATCGGCACCGATGTCACTATCAATCTTATTTTAAAGAGCAATCCAATCCTTGTAATATCTTCTATGATAGTATGGAAGCAGAAAATAAGAGAAACAGATTGGTAACAGTTTGACATAATCAGGCAATACTAAGGGAGTTACGAATTTTTGAAATATGAAATCAGTAGGTCGGTGAGAATCTCAAATCGGCAATTTAGTCAGTAGCTTGTGACGTAGCATGGGACAACTCTCCCGTTTGTCGTGTACACAAATATCCTTATTTTCTCTTTTTCTCCTACTCTACCTACTCCCTTTGTTCACTACTCGAAATATATTTTGGAAAGCAGAGTATCATAGGTCCTCTGAAAAGAATAGACTCTCTCGAATCATACTTTTTTGAAAAATGTACATTTTGCTAATTTTCTTAACAGTGTTTCGTAACAGTGACGTTACTGGTCCTCGAATTTGCCCATACGTATATGGATTACGACTTCCACACAAATCATAGGTTTCTTAATTTCTGTCCGATTTTATTCAAAATTTCACCATTCTTCTTTTCTGATTTATCTGCTTTCGTTTAGTTGACATAGTTGTCTGTTAAGGTTAGATTTCCCTGAAACTTACAACTTGTTGGCATTATGCCCCTTTTGCAGGCCAAAAAATTGAAAAAAGGTATAATTCCAACGGCATTTGAAAGACAATACTAATTTAGAAATTCCCTCGAAAGAAAAGGCTGAAAATGGCTTTTAGTGGGGACAAACGAGCATTAGTTGTCGAATAGACTTAGGTGATTGCAACCATCTAAGTAATAGTTTGATTTTCAGACCCTTTTAACCGGAACGGTCGTACATTATGTACTGCACAAAGATTTAATCAGTTTAAATTTGGCGATTACGAGTAGTTTCCTTGCATAATTTGCCAATACTAGGACACTGCTAATGTCTAAATTTCACAGATTGGACAAACATGACATATCTATAATTCCTGCAAAGTTCTACATAATTTGCTACCAAAGGGACATAATATATCTTAAAGGCATAATGAAACTATTTCTAAATCATTTTCTTACCATAGATGGTCAGTTCTGTATGGTTGATGTAACTAGTACCAGATTGAAGTTCTAAGCGACACTGATATCTCCCTTCGTCTGAAACACTGAGGTTTCTGATATCGATGGAAAAATCATCATTCAAATTGAAACGACCATCGAAGTTATGTGGCTTTTCTTGGAAATAAGTAGCTTTGCCGCCACCACTGCTGTTCGTCCAGTACAACGCTAGAACATCGGGATAGGTGAATTTACATGGGAGATTCACATTCTCACCTAGCCATCCGATGACATGTTGATCAGTATGTATCGTGGCTACACAACCTATAAATGATGGGACAAAAGAAAAAGAGGGCAGAGTGAAAAGCAAAAGAGATTATAAAGAAGGGGGAATAATAAGACAAGTAGGAATGAGGGGTACAACCCTCGAAACGATAGACAAAGCACAAGAGATATCCCTATAACGAACGAACGCGTGACGGATTTAAATAATGCTTTCACGAAATTGGATGCGAAACGACGAAATTGATCAGACAAAGTTACCAAATGAATGATTAAAGACAAAATCGAATTTGAGATTTGCAAAATTAGAAAGTTTTGAAATGAAATTGAATGAAAATATAAAGTATGATCTTGAATGCAAAATTGTTAAAATGGAAGCGGGAAAATGTTATTCGAGTAAACAGGTCGTCAAGTCAACATGCACAAATGCGTCTATCAAACTTAAAGGCACAGTTCATATTTTCCTACTGTCTTTCGAATTCCAAAAAGTGCTTCTTCTTGCAAGAACATACCCACACTCGCTCGTATATGAAGCTATTATTAAAGGGAACACTTATTCTCCATTTAGTCAAATAAGATCAATTCTATTTCCAGAATGCATTTGTGAGCAATTGTGCTTTCGTCAGGATGATTATGATATTACTCATTGACTTCACATAATAATCGCCTGAGATATATACCGTATAATTTCTGTTCCAACTCCCATTATATAATATGAAACAATAATTATATGTACTTGAAATCATACACAGTCTGTTTTTAACCATTCCAAACCATTCTAAAATTGTATTACTTGTATGACCTGAATTTTAATATTTTCATAAACATGATATGGGGTTTAACTTCATCTGTATATATTATAATCGTGCAATAGCTTTGAGACTGGTTGTTATGGAAATTGTGTTCTCAATGAAAATTAATTTTTGTTGATATTTTAATATAAATTTTGATGTCAATGATTTAAATGATAACAATCATAATAATCTTAATAATAACAGTAATAATAATAATATTAATAATGATAATGATAATGATATTATTATATGCTTTCTATTGATTTTATATCTCAATTCATGTTTGTTATATTGCTGTATTTATGTGATTTGCCAAATAAAATAATAATAATAACAGAGACTCTCAGTCACTATCTTTCTCTCTATATATATATCTTTCTCTTTATCTTTCAAGGTTTTTTCTCTATATCTCTCTTGTGGTATTAAAACCTTTGACTAATTAAAAATAAAAATTTTGTCGTTACTTCACGTTTGTCATTTAAATTGGAAGCATTAAACCTGCATTATGCAGGTAAAACTACAAAAAAAGTTACTATGCACAGTCTACTTTAACTAATTATCTTCACGCAATTCTTTTAAATATTAATGGATACAATTTAAGTGTTCAGTAGGGGGAGAGGAATCAAATTTAATTGTCTTCGACAATCATTTCTTTAGTATAAGGCCTACAAAAAGAAGATGTTGTATTGCCATTTGCGACCGACCCAAAAATCTAAACAAATCTACGGTTGGCTTTTTAAAAAAGTTTTTTTTTAAACCATTTTTTAGAGAGAAAAAAATATTAAAGCATTTAAAACTGAAAAAAATTAGCCCAATGAGGGAGAAGAAAAAACAAGTTTTACAAAAAATATTTTAAAAATTCCGACCGACCGACCCATGTTTTGGCACCTAAAGTAAAGGGCAATAGAACATCTTCTTTTGTGGGGCCTAATTGTCTTCTTGATGAATACAAATTATTGCTTAACCATTTTTTTATGTACACATATTCTAAATTGTATTATTCATGCTATATGTAATGTATGTATGTATAGTAGGATGTGTATATATTCGTTCTTATGCGCGTGCATGTGTGTGTGTGTGTGCGTGTGTGTGTGTATGTGCGTGCTGTGTATGAATAGGCTTTTCTGAACAGCGTATGTCGATGAATATTCATTTTCATCACCATCAGAATAATTCAATCGAGTTGTTTATATTCATTTGTTTCACATTCTTCATTTTGGTCATGAATTGATTCTTCCAGCTTTGATTATCTCAATGAGCACCTGTACAATGTTGTGTGCATGCAAAGCCAACAATCACGGGAGGGTTTATTTTTACATAAAAATATTTCACTTTTCATGGTAGGAAAAGATGGTTAAGTTAAAAATATCCGTTTTGAAATTTGTCTTTTTAAGCCTTGGTGTACGTCAATCCATTTGATTTCTCTGCTTGAAAAGTGACATGAAGATTCATTGAAAAATTGTCTCGACACCTGCCAATCGACGGTGTGTCCATAAACCCTAATAAAAATTGAAGGACACATACATAAATTATGAAGACAAAAACTGTCGGTCTTGTCTTGAGGAGAACTTTAGCTCAATGTGTTGTTTATGCGACGAATTTGAATGAAACCTCTCTTGAAATTGATTGAACAAAGACAAATTCGATCATTATATTTTGCAGCAGCCCGTCAAGTGCCACAAATTTGATTGATATCTGACTAAAAATGAATGGTCAACTGTAAAAAAAATTGATTGACCTGGACCAACTCGAATTACCAATATTAACTTTGACATTTTCATGATCCCGGATTCCAAAAAGACGAAATTGAAGTGCAAAAAGATAAATTCGAATTTAAAAAGTGTTAAAATGGATGTGAAATCCTTCAGTAAACAGGTAAATGCGTTAACCGTAAGCAACAGTAAGGAGTTCCCCCACCCTTGCTTTTTGTCCAGAGTGGGCGACAGTTTTCTTTTCTCATACAAAATCATTACTTACTGTTTATCATGAGTATCTAGCAGTTAAGCATTATACTCGTGGTTCGTAATATACGTAGCTACAGAAATTCCTACTTAATAATATTGGTATTACAATTGCTTTGATGAGAGAGACAACATAATAATGCTTGCTAGATTTTGTTTTCATTATGTTTGTTGATTTCAATACATTCGAGAATGAAATCAAGTAAGACATGATCAACAGATTTTAAAATCTATGGAGAGACGAAGCTTAAAGATAAACTTGAGTTCTGGTAAAAAAAAGAAAATGAATTCTCACAAAATCAAACGAAACTTACACTGAATGTTCTAGATTACAAATAAATGTCATTTGCCAAACAATTTTGGTAGAAAATGTATACTAGTTGAGTAATTAGCATAGATCTTTCTGTGTACAGTGTTTGTTACTTTCCCAAGACTGGCCAAATTTATTAATTTTGATGACTCCAGAACTTTGCAGTACACACCAATACTTACATGCTACATGATCAACTTTTTCTGATCCATTCCACACCTTTTCTTTCACAATGCAATCGCATGACCAGAACTCAACTTTATCTTTAAATATGCGTTTTTATTCATGAACTTAAATTTGTGTAATTTCCCTTTTTTTGTACCCCCTCTCCCTCTTCCTATCTTTGTTTTTCTCCTTCAAAATCTAGGGCCCGAATTCACAAAGCAATGTTTGAGCTCAGACCAAGGTTTGAGCTCAAACCTCCTTTTGTTTCGCCAAACCTCCTTTTGTTCTTTACAAACCAGGTTTGTAAAAAACGCGTAAAACGCGTCATATGACGTACGAAAACCAAGGTTTGTCGACAAACCTCCTTTGTGAATTCGGGCCTAGGTATTTAAACATTGCTCATCCAGAACCAGGCATGGAGTTAATTGCATCCGGGGCTCACTACCATGCCAACTGTTAAAGAGCAGCAACCAGGATGTTCAGCAAGCAAACTAGAGATTAGGAGAACCCTGGAGAAGCTTCATATCATGAGTTGTTCAGTATTTTGTATAAATGTAATAGATGGTAGGATAATTGAAAATATTTTCTTTGTAGAGAATCATTACTTCAAAAAGGATGTTTGTTAAGTTTGTTTAGATAGTACAGGGATTAGATGTTTCTTCCTATAAAGCCTAGCTACAATCTCACGTAGGTCCATTTCCTCTGAGTTGTCCTGAATGTCCTGCAATTATGATAATATTGATAATGGTAGTCAAGTTTTAATACTGCATATTTCACATGTCGATACATGTTTGTTAAACAACATAATTTACTAGTACTCTGGTCTTTGGATGCAAATTCAGTACGTGTATTGCAAATTACATGTATATTTATCATTTGTTACTTTTGTTTAGCATTCCAAAATGTGGATACAAGTATTTTTTAATATATTTATACTTACTTATTTATGTGCAGGTTATGTGGATTTCTTATATAAAGTGAATCCAATATAAAAACGATTGGTTAATATTATTATTTATTTCAATTTTGTATAATTATTTTTGTTTCTTTAATTATTTAGTAATTAATTCATTCCATAACTGAAACATAACATATATTAACAAAACATAGCACATTAACAAAATTGATATTCATGAACAATAAAGACATCTACACAGCACAAATTTGTATTGTATTTACACTAGATAATTTCGAATTTACATGTGAAAAAGGTAACAATAATATAAAGCATAGCTTGTAGAGTTTCTCAAAATCATTTTGACACAGTGTCATTCATAGTCAGGTAGAAATATAATAATTAAAAAGAAAAGGTGGAAAAGAGCAAGTATTAAGTATAGCAAAGTATACAGACAAAAACAATGAAATAATATGGATGATGGATGTAAGAAAAAGAGAAATAGAAAGAGAAGGTAAAGAATGGGAGTCAGAAGAAGAATGAGAAGATAAAAGAGGAAGTTTTAAAGTAAAATGTTCAAGGTCGGGAGCCACAGTCGGGAACGAATAGAATAGTAGTGCATTAAACGTACACATTCAATAATTACAATGTAATATATTATTTAAAGCTGGCACAGTCTGTAAGATATTGAGATTCGGATCAATGTTGCTCCAGTAGTATGGTCCAGTGTATGATATGTTGTTGGGCGAAAACTGTCCTGGTTAGAGGAAAATGAAAGTTTACACGAGTTGCATGTCGTTTTTGTTATGTGTTTATAGCGTTATTGTTGTTTGGAGTTCTCGGCAGGAAAACTGATACATGAATATGCCGAGATTTGAAAGGTATATAAAATCTTTAACTTTTAAAAGTTTGTCTTTCAAAAATAAGGGTCAGTATGTGACGTAAAAGAAGTATGCTATTAATATAAAAGTGGCGTTTGTATTGCCCATTATTCCATAATGTATGTACGGCAGTATTAGGGTAGAATGAAGAGACAATAGCATTTCGTAAGGGAATTGAAGTCTATTTTTGTTAATAGGAGCAACCTGACAAAACAAAACAAAACAAAATTGTCACGAATTGGGCAAAAAAGTGCCCTTTTTAATACCCCCCCCCCCTTCTTATTCACGGACTGGCTGAGTCGCCGGGAAATATTCCCTCCAAAATAGGGGGAAAATGCTCTGTATCATTAGCCAAATGGACCTAAAACATCCGCAAGGCGCGGATGGGAGAGGGGTGATACATTAATTTGATGTTTCTGTGTTGCTTTGTTGCTGCTTGGTAGGTTTTGTTGTTGTTTGGTAGGTAAGGTTTTAGGGTTCTGTCTCAAAAGACTACTGGTCTATGCAGCTCTCCTCCACAATCCATTTCACCTTTCAGGTATTCAGGTACTTTGCTGCCTAAAATCATAATGTTTCTAAACTTTGCAAGCGAGCGAAGCGAGCTAGAAAGAAAGACACTTTATTTTCTTATAAATGCTAATTCCAAATGAAATATTCTCTGAGCAGTTTCTAATAATTGTGTTTTTCGAAAAATCGACGTTATTCCAAAATAATAAGATTTAAACAAAAATATGACTAATATTTTCATACACCTGTCTTGCGGCACATCTGTCAGATAACAGATAACATAAACACATACTTAAAACTGCGAATTATGGCAGATACATGAGCTCCATCTGAAATTGCTACCAACAAAGTGAATTCGAGATCACTTACCCGTTGCAAGTGCACAAAGCGTCAACAATGTGCTCAAATGATCAAAGTAAGATGCTATTCTCATATCTGCCATTTTGACTTTGAGCTCAAACAATTATGTTCTAAATGAAGTAAGAGAAGCTGAAGGTGTGAAATGTAACCGTTGCTGTATGTGATCTATGTACGCACAGTCCTTATCCGCTATACCATGAAGCGTTCTTGACGAAAGTTCAAAGGTAACGCGGGATTCCCCGCTCCATTGACGGAGTACATTAATGTTGAAGAGAAAAGGAACCATGTCAACGAGACATTCATTTAATGTGAGTATGTATGTACAAATGCGTGTAAGAAAAATCAGTGGAGCAGAAAGGGGCACGGAGGACACGTGCCTCCCCCTTGTCCCCCACCCATTAAAACATGGAAGAGAGAAATAGATAGAGAACGAGAGAGAGAGAGAGAGAGAGAGAGAGAAAGAGAGACAGGGAGAGACAGACATATATACAGACAGATAGAGAAGGGAAGATGTGACAGGGAGAGAGAGAGGGGGAGGGGGCTTTAATTAATGAGTGTTAATTGGTATAATTAATTATTTGAGTCTGTCCCAAAGAACAATCACAACTTATATATTAATTTATATTAATCTGTTGAAGTATTATCAAACTTTCCCTTTACTGTTACATACAAGTTGTGTTAGAGGTAGGGTAGGATTCCCTATTTCTTTATCAATACCTATAGTTTCTCTTTTTTGATTCCGGTTCTGTTTCTCGCTTAATTGAATGATAAATCACAAATGTAGTTAACAAATGAATTATTCCTACCCCACGTAATTGTTTGTCTCTTCAAAACCCAAGCATGAATGGTGGACTGGTTGAATTAAGGCCTTTGTTAAATAATTGCAGATGTAAGCTTTACATTTTTTCACATCCTCGTTGTCATCAACCAAATGTACTTCATACATCCACAAGGCGAGAATGAAGTGTGTGTGTGTGGGGGGTGGGGGTGGGTTGATATATTAACTTGACATTTTTGTGTTTCTTTGTCACTGTTTGGTATTAAAAGTTATTTTACTATACTTACATAGGTTTTACTCATATAGGAGTTATGCCTTAAAAGATCAATGCTCTATGCACTTCCGATCCCCTCCACAATTTTATTTCATCTTGATCCTTTTTTCGAGTTTGATGTACTTTAATAATGTTATTATGCTAAATAGGTTCCCACATACTTGATATCACTTTTAAGCCAGGTTAGGTTATTTTTTGTTGTTTTGTTGTGGTGGTAACCTTATTATGGAATGTGGAAACACTTACTTAAATTTGTAATTGGTCCAGCGATGCCCCTGATTGATACCGTAAATTTATGAAGAACAGAAACTAAATTATATAGTAATACGAGTAAACTATTCAAAGTGGGTTTGAATTGTCTTTAGAATTTGTATTATGTATTTTAAAAATATGAACGTATATTTAGCTTGATGTGCAATCTCTATAACAGCGTACCTTGTACAGTAGTAGCTTCCTGTAAAGTTTCGTTTTTTTTTATTTTTAACGGATATGCCTGCGTATCCCAAATTTAACATCAGATAAAAGATAACATCTAAACATATCTAAACTGCACCAGGTGGCGGAGCAACTTCCAAAGTGGGGGGGGGGGACCAACAAAAAAGGGCATTTTCTGGAGAAAGAAAAGGCACCTTCAAAGCGAAAACATACAATTTTTTAGACATTGGTATATATATATATATATATACCCCTATATTGTGATTACATTATCAGGGACGGTTTCAATAATTGTTTGAATAGGGCAATTATCAGAGGTGAAGGGGGCGATTCGTGCATGAAAAGGGGAACTTACTAGAGATTAAAAAAGGCACTTATGCGAATAGAAAATCGACACTTATTGCAAAGAAGATGGGAACTTGTCAAAGGAAAAGGGGGACGTGTCAAAATAAAAAGGGCACTTTTAAAAATTAATAGGGGCACATGTCAAAGTAAATGAGGCACTTTTCCTATGTAAAAAGGGGTACTTTTGGGGTACTTGAAAAGTGGGGGCACTGTGCCCCCCTGCCCCCGCCCCCCGGAGCGCTGCCTTTAACTGCATATAATGGCTAACAACATGAGCTTAATCTGCCTGAAATTGCTACCAGCAAAGCCAAATAGAAATCACTTACCCGTTGCAAGTGCACATAGCGTCAAGAATGTGCTCAAATGATCAAAGTAAGATGCTGTTCTCACGTGTGCCATTTTGAATTTCAGCTGCTATATTCAGATCAAAACAATAGGCTTTAAATGAAGTAAGACCAGTTGTGGGTGTGTCATATAACAGTTGCTGTATGTGATCTACGCACAGTCATTTGCCGCTATACCATAATACATTCATGACGGAGGTCAAAGGTAACGCGGAATTTCCCTCTTGATTGACGGAGCACATTATTTATAGAGAAACAGAACCATCGAGACATTTAGTAATTGTGTGAATATCTATGTACGTATGTAAGAATAATCAGTTGAGTAGAAAAGGGGCACGGGGACATGTGCACACCATACGTCATTTCCGCTATACCATAAAACGAGCATGGTGGAAGGTCAAAGGGAACGGGGGATTCCCCGCTTCATTGACAGAGCACATTAATGATAGAGAGAAATAGAACCAGGGCAACGATACATTCAATTATTATTAAAGTATGTACGTATATACATGGATTTGTACAAAAATAGTAATAACCAGTGGAGTAGCAAAGGGACACCAGGGACCCGTACCCCCTCTCTTATTCCATTATGAATTATGAAGCCAAACCTGAATAACTCACGAGACATTAGGATAAAGAAGGGCTATGTTAAAAGTATTTTTCAAACATTGGGGATAAAAACACGAAAAACACTTGCTTCCCATCTCCAACCCATTCAAATGCGAAGAGAGAGAGGAATAGAGAAAAAACGACAGACAGAGAGACAGACAGATATACAAACGGAGAGGGGAATAGACAGATAAGGGGAGGGGGGGGGAAAGAGAAATAAAGTGGGAGTGGAAGAGAGTGGGGAGAGAGAGAGAGAGAGAGTGAGGGGGGATCGAGGGAGGTGTGAGGTGAAGAGAAAAAGAGGGGAAGGGTTTAATGAGTGGTAATGGGTTTTATCAATTATTAGAGTATGTCCCAAAGAACAATCAAAACTGTAGTATAGCTCTATGTTAATCTTCTGAAGTACAATGTATCATCAAACTTTCACTTCCCTGTTACACGCAAGATGGACCAGAAGAAATGTGGGATTTCCCATTTCCGGATCCAAGTGTCTATAGTTTCACTTTTTTAATTTTGTTAATTTTTTGCTTTTTTGAATTATTAATCAGAAATACATTTAACAAATGGATTATTATAAACCCATTTATTATTTTCTTGATTCATAACTCAAGAATGTAAGGTGTACTGGTTGAATTAAGGCCTTTGTCGAATACAGGTAGATGTTAGCTCAACTATCTGACATCCTCGAGAAACATAAATTCGGACAAATCAATTTTGTACACACTTAACAAATTTCAACACATGGTAAGGATAGATTTATTTAGTTGTTAAAGGTAAAGACTAGTATTGGAAACGCCCCAATTTCAAATAATGAAATGGAAGCTCTCATTACCAATCATGTGAAAGAATATGTTTTGACTATTGATGATAAAAAATTTGCTGGGAAACCGCCTACTAATTGATATATTTGGTAAATTATTATATCTATTTGACTGTGAGAGATATAGGGTAGTCCTATATACATCTTTCTGTGTAGAGTGCTTGTAACTTTACGAAGAATGGGCCAAATTTCTTATCATTTTGATGATTCCAGAACCTTGCAGATGCTAGATGCTAGATTTTTTTTTTTCATAGGTTTTTATTCGTTTCTCTCAAAGAAAAATTGTACATTACATTGGATACAAAATAACAAATAATTTAACATAGGTCTTTATAAATTTACCAATGACCTTTTACATTTACATACAAAAGTTACACCTCTTCATTTTCCTTTGGAGACAAAAAAATTATATATATAAAAAAAAAGAGAAAAAGCTACAAAACACCTACTACCCCCCCCCCCCACCCCACACAACATTTAAACACATAACATGTACAACAGTATACAAAACACACACTAACATAGAACGAGCAAAAAACAAAAAACAAAACAAAACAAAAAAACAAAAACAAAAAAAACAAAAAAACAAAAAAGAGAAGAGAGGAGGGTCAGGAAGTTGTATATTGAGAGAAAAAAAAAATGAAAACATTTATTCTAAACTTTCCAAAGCTTCCCATTTCCTTAAATGAATTGAAAGTGTGTCTCTTTCCATTGAAAGTTTTTTCTCTTCATTTCTATATTCTATTTCTTTTGCTTTTGGAGGGTTTCCCTTCTCTCTACTGTGGAAAATCATATATTTAATCAAAATTTAAATGTGGTTCAATAATTGCTCCGTTTTAAAAGTAGTGTCATCTATTCCTATATGAATTTCTTTCCAGGATAAATTCTTCAAAATTAGTAAATTAAGTCTATCTCCACATTTCCCCCAGACTTCCTTTATTGTATTACATTCAAAGAATACATGTTGATAAGTTTCTTCAAAATTTTTGCAAAATGAGCACAAACCATTTTCATGGAACCTGAATCTATGTAAATGATGATTTGTATATGAAATATTATGCAATAATTTGAACTGAAATTCTCGCAGTTTACTACTTAAGGTACACATCCTTGGTTGAACATATATCTTTTCTACTTCTTTTCTTGGAATATTGTAAAGTGTCATTAAATTGCCGCCTGCCGAGTTTGTTTCTACATTCTTTTTAATTTGACTCTTATATACCATTTTTGCAGTTAAATCTTCAAATGTAAACACTTTCTTTGAAAAAATAAATTCTAAACTAAAGCCAGTGTGAATTGCCTTTCTTAAAGGTTGAACATTCTGTTTCCATTCATAAGGGGCTACTTTATAAATTTGTTTTACTTTATCAATTTCCACTCTGCTCAAACCTAACATTATAAAATGAGCTTCAGGTTTCAATTCTCCGTTTTCTTCACAAATGTGATGAATTCGATATAAAAATTTTAAAAACAAAGTTTCCTCAAATAAGGTTTGACCTTCTAGTTGAATAAAATTATTATTATACAATATTTCATTCCCTTTGTATCTCTCTTCTGTTTTAACATATTCTTTCATATCTATCCATGCTTTCAGAAGATTCTGATAAAAGGAAGGTAACATAAGTTTCACTATATCTCTCCAATAATTGCAATAAAATATTAAATTACCTCCTATCGGTCTCATTAAATATTTAAAGTATTGTTTCCATTTGATATCATGAGTTCCTGTTACAAGCCTTTTTATCCACATTATTCTTTGTGCTTTTACAAACAACCTAAAATTCATCATTTTGAGCCCACCCTGCTGATAGTCTAACATCATTGTACTTCTTTTAATTTTATCTTTACCTCTCCACAAAAAATAAAAACATATTACTTCCATTTCTTTGTATACCCACTCTGGAACTGGCATTAGTGATGTTACATATGTCAATTTAGAGTATCCATATACTTTCATCAATTGAATTTTACCCATTAAAGTTAGGTCACGCTGTTTCCACCACGTCAGTAGTTTTTTAATTTTGCTCAATATTTCCTTATAATTCATTTTTTCCTTGATATCTACATGAACTGAAAAATAAACACATAATATTTTAACAGCATCTACAAGTTTCCCAAACGGAAATGTATTATTAGACACCTGTGGGCCCAGGGGCAGAATATATGTCTTATCCTTGTTTAACTTTAATCCTGATATTTTATAAAAACCTTCTAAAACGTGTTCTATTTCCTTAACTGAACTCATATCTTTGATGAAGAGTGTTATATCATCAGCATATAATACTTGCTTTATTTCTGTATTTCCAAAACAAATTCCTTTTACCAATTGATTATTTCTAATCATATGAGCTAAAATTTCAATGCATAAAATGAACAGGTATGGAGATAATGGGTCTCCTTGTCTAATTCCTCTTTCAACTTTAAAATAACCTGTTGATGCGTTTCCATTCATAACACAACTTTCAGTATTAGTATAAAGTATATTCACCCATTTACAAAACAATGGTCCAAACCCAAATGAATTTAAGACTTTGTATAGAAAACAATGAGAAACAGAGTCGAATGCCTTTTCAAAATCTAAGGCCATCAAAAAAGCATTTTCCTTATAAAAAGAAGTATGAAAAATCATGTCATCTATTATTCTTATGGCTTCTCCAATGTTTCTATTCTTAACATAGCCAAGTTGATCAGAAGATACAATATCAGGTAAAATTTCTTGCAATCTCTTTGAAAGTATCTTTTATAATCCACATTTAAAAGAGAAATCGGTCTGTAATTCTTAATAAAGTCTAAATCTTTATCTTTTTTTTGTATCAAGGTGATAACTGCTTGTCTCTGAGAGGCCGATAGTTCTCCATGATCAACCTTTTCTGATCGATTCCACAACGTTTCTTTCACAATGCAATCGCATGACCATAACTGGTCTTTACCTTTAGCTGTATCATCGGCCCAAAGTAATTTAAACCGTATCCGGACACCACCACCTGGACATCCACCCCCGGATTACCACCCCCAGTCATCTACCCCCTAGGGCAACCACCCTCTAGGACGACTACCCCCAGGACAACTACCCCCGGACAACTACCCCCAGAAAACTACCCATAGGACAACTACCCCCGGACAACTACCCCCAGGACAACTACCCCCGGACAACGAGCCCCTAGGATAGTTGTCCGGAGGAGTAGTCGTCCTAGAGGATGGTTGTCGTATAGGGGGTAGTTGTCTGGAGGTAGTTGTCCGGGGGTAGTTGTCCTAGGGGTAGCTGTCTGGGGTAGTTTTCCGGGGGTAGTTGTCCTAGGGGGTAGTTGGCTGGGGGTGGTTATCCAGGGGTGGATGTCCAGGGGGTAGGTTTCCTAGAATCACTTTAAACATCCGCAAGGCGAAAATGGGGGAGGGAAGGGGGTGAGGAAGGGGGAGGAGGAATGGAAGGGGTTCGGCCTCGAAAGGTTTTAGGCATTTTGCTGCCTGAAATCATAATGCTTTCAAAGACAAATTATTATCTTATGATCGCTATTTCCTCATGAACCTACGTACTCTACGTACACTAGCAGTTTTTAATAATTACTTGGTTTTCACAAAATCGATGTTATTCCAAAGTAAGGAAATTACAAGAATTAAATGATTAAAATTATCTGCCATTATGTCTTTCATCTTACATTACATTCAGCTCAAAATAATAGGTTTCAAATGAGGTGAGAGAAGTTGAGGGTGTGAAATATAACCATTGCTGTATGAGATCTACATACAGTCATTTTCCGCTATACCATGATACATTCATGACGAAGGTCAAAGGTCACGCGGAATTCCCCGCTCGATGGACGGAGCACATTATTTATAGAGAAACCGAACCATCGAGACATTCAGTAATTGTGTGAA